TCCCCAAGTACCACCCTACCCATACCCTTCGCTCCTCACAGGACCTCCTTCTATCCTGCTCCCTGGTCTCCTCCTCCCATGCACGAATTGCAGGACTTCTCCAGGTCCTCCCCTATCCTCTGGAACTCACTGCCCCAATCCATCCGACTGTCGCCTTCCCTCCCCACATTCAGGCGCTCCCTCAAAACCCATCTCTTCAGGGAAGCCTACCCCACCCTCACCTAACGGCCATTCTCCCTCATTCCTCCCACCACTTCATCCCCCTCAGCCACTTCATTCCCCTCAGCCACTTCCTATTGTTCCACTACCCCCTCCCTCCTAGATTGTAAGCTTGAAAGAGTAGGGCCCTCTTACCCCTCGTACGCTGTCTGTTTTTGTTGTACTGTGCCATGTATTGTCCCCCCTATTGTACAGCGCTGAGCAAACCCTTTGGCGCTATATAAACTCAATGTAATAATAATAATAATCAATGTCGGAATTTAATTCTTCTTTGCCATATAGTGTAGAAGAGTCCCAGTGTTGTGTTGACCTGCCAAAGCTTTCCTTGACAATGAAGCTGTTGTGACAGGGACTGAAAAGAGATGTGCGTCCATTTGTTAACACAGATGTCTTCAAAATACTAATGTTGTCAGGCTGGTGCACTGTCCCCAGGCAAACGTTGCCTACAATGACCCACCCCAGGTCCAGTCTCTGTGCCTAGGGGGCATTGTAAGGTCCATTGGTTTGCTGGCGCATCTTGTGCATCTGAAGGATGTCTCTTCCAAGAAGTAGAAGGATAGAAACATCTGGCTCAACAGCTGGGATAAGGTGAGCAATTGAGCGGAAGTGAGGGTGATGATGGGCTACTTCTGGTGAGGGAATCTCTGTTTTGTCATCAGGTATCATGCCACACTCTATTAGGGTAGGAAGTGAGAACTGCACTTTCTTATTTAAGGATTCAGTGGTAAAGCCAGTAGCTCTTCTCCCTGCTGTTTCAATTGTCCCTGCACATGTCCTTAGGGTGTATGGAACTGCACTTGCCTTACGGTTAAAGGTATCAAAGAAGTCTGACTTTGCAAGAGATCTGTTGCTTTGTTCATCCAGCACTGCATACATTTTCACTGGCCTTTCTCTCTTGCCAGTGGGATATACAGTCACTAAACAGATTTTAGAGCATGATCGTGCACTCTTGCCTTGTCCACATACTTCAGTGCAATTCGACATTACTGAAGAGAGTGGGGTCTCTTGTTTCTCCCTGCCCTGATCTTTCATGGGTTCTACAGTCTCTAGTGGTGCAGGAGCAGGGCCAGGGTGCAAAGCTGCAATATGTCATTCACTGCCACATTCTGTACATTCCACTGATATTTTACAGTCTTTGGCAATGTGGTAAGTAGATCCGCAGCACTTAAAACAGATGCCGTTTTGTTTAAGGAAGGACATCCGCTCTGCAATAGGTTTGCTTCTAAAGCCTTTGCATTTCTTTAGTGGATGTGGATTTTTGTGTATTGGGCAATGTCTATCTGGGTTTTCTATTGTATGTACCTTATGGGTGCTTTGACAGTCTGTGACTTCTGAAGGTACAATGGTTTTGTGTGTGGATACAGAGGTCTTACCGTGAGGTCTGTGAGGTCTTTGCGATTGATTGCTGCTGGTGGTGAAGGCGAAACTGGGATCACTTCGGATTTGCGCTTGCTGTCGGACAAACCTAGAGAACACAGAGAAAGGGGGAAAAGCAATTCCATAATCTTCTTTGAATTTACCTCCCTCAGACATCCACCTGTCTTGCAGATTTGAAGGTAGTTTCTGTACTATGGGATTAGTGCCTCTGGCCGTATCTAGATATGAAAAGCCCTGGCAATTAGCCATCCTCTTTGGCATATTCTATCTCTAGCAGAAGATCACCCAGTTCTTGTAGCCGCACGTTGTCTCTGTAGCCCACCTTAGGGAAGACTTCAAGTTTTTTCAACAATGCTCCTTCAATTACTTCTGGAGATCCATACGTTTCTTCTAGTCTTTTCCAGGTCATGTTAAGTCCTGCTGCAGGGTTGAACAGGTTTGCTCATCCTCTTTGCATGCTCTGCTGACTCGGTACCAAGCCATTTTATCATTAAATCAAGCATTTCTGCTGGTGATAAGTTCAAATCTCTAGTGGCATTCAGAAATGAAGCTTTCCATGCCCAATAGTTTTCAGGACAGTCATCAAATTGGAGAAAGCCTGAGCTGACCATTTCTTTGCGGATGAGATATTTGGTGACAACCACTGCACATTGTTGTTTGCACATGTAATCTTTAGGTTGAGGTGGTGGGAACACTTGTTTTTTGTTCCTAGGGGATTCTGGTGCTTCATTTTTGGTTTGCTGGTGGCCACTGACCTCTTGTGGTAGATTGGGCCTGCCCAGGGGGTCTGTATATCTTGGCCTGAATTCCTTTGCTTCAGGTTTGAGAGACTGTTCCTTTGTATGTATATCAGTAAGGTTCTGTATGTACTCACTTGTACGATCAGCAGAGGATAGAGGTTTTTCTGGAACCTTTGGGTCTTTATATGCTTTTTCACTTCCTGACCAGCTTGTTCCCATGTAGGCAGCGGCCTCTGCTTCAGTAACTGCAACTGCAGTCTGTCGCTGCAGGATAAGCAATTTTTATTCCAATTCCGCCTCTTCTTGTGCTATGGCAGCTTTCTTAGCTGCTATCTCCTGCATCATCATGGCCTCTTTTTCTGCTGAGGCAGCTTTCTTAGCTGCTATCTCCTGCATCATCATGGCTTCTTTTTCTGCATACTGTAGCTGGACACGGGCAGCTTCTGCCTTGGCATGAGCTCTAACTGCTGAGGAACTTGCTGAGGACATCTTGCTAGATCGTGAAGATCTGGACACATGTGACTGTGCATTGTCTTGCTGTGCACTGGGGATGTTGTCCCTACCACCCTGTGTCAGCGGTAGTGTGTCATCAGCCTGGTACTTTGTTCCTGATCTTAGACTCATGCTGCAGTAATGGCGTCTCCGTTTATTCCAGACCGCCATGTGGGTGTCCTTTTACTATTCTGCTTCACATTATTGAACTGTTGTATAACACTAGTCAGACAGTCTAACAATAATTCAGAAGTCAAGAAACGTGAGACATCAGATCTGTATGTATTCTTTGTTCTGAATAACTTTGTAAAACTACAACATAAACACAAACAAAACATATGTGTCAGTACATTAAACATTGTACAACAGCTTCATCCCATCAGTGAGTGTACTCACGGACAATTCCACCATAAGTCCAGGAATAGCTTGGAGCTTCACTGCATGCTACTTGCTAGTTTCAGAAGCAGCACAAAATGGAGGACAGGAACTTCCAGGTTGAAGGTTACTGCATGTGAAAATGACCAATTCCTATAAATCCTGCTATAACTAGGCATGATAACTCTAACCAATAGATGGCAGCAACATCACATAACATTACAGTATATTACATATATTATTTTCAACAATATGGGCAGAACACTTTCCTTTTTTGACTTTGCTACTACCAAAGAGGTCACTAAGGTTTTTTCATAAGCCTGTCTCACCACCTGCCCCTGGATCCTGTTCCTTCTCCTACCTCACTGAGAACAACCTTCTTGACCCTCTACAGTTTGGCTTTCACTCACTCCACTCCACTGAAACTGCCCTGCTAAAACTCACTAATGATGTACTAAACTGCTAAAACCAATGGCCACTACTCCATACTCTTACTACTTGACATCTTTGCGGCTTTTGATACTGTTGACCATCCCCTCCTCCTCAAAAAACTCCACTCTCTTGGCCTCAGAGACTCTGCTCTCTCCTGGTTCTCCTCCTACCTATTGCAGTGCTTCTTCAGTGTTACCTATAACCCTGTCTCCTGCTCTCTACTTGCTCTTTCTGTAGGGGTCCCTCAAGGCTCTGTCCTTGGACCCTTTCTCTTCTCCATCTACACCTCCTCCCTTGGTCACCTGATAAACTCCCATGGCTTCAAGTACCATCCTCTATGCTGATGACTAGAGATGAGCGAATTATTCAAAAAATTCGATTCGGCTGATTTGCGAAATAAATTCGATTCGAGGCGAATATATTCGCTGCGAATATAAACGTGTACGGGGCCAAAAAAGGGTGTTTCTAGGCTTCAGAGAGCCTTTATATTAGTGCAGAAACACTGTACCTTTAATTTAAATGCCCTTGGAGTCTGCTGGGGAAGAGAAATATTATAGCTAGTCAGTCAGTATGACATGCAGATGGGAGTGCCGCGTCGATTTTAGAATCACCGCACACTTCACTCATTTGGGCAGTCACGGGGCCAAAACCAGAGCCAAAAATAAGGGAGCCACAGTGTGGCGGTGGAGGCAGCAGCATGGGAGGCCATACAGCACCCTATGACAAAATGGAACCACACCAGCAGTGTGAGGAGACCTGAAAGTGGCACATGGGCAGAGTGTGGCGATGGAGGACAGCAGCAATGAGGCCGTACAGGGACCCATGACACACTCTGGACCTGGCAGCAGCATGAGGAGGCAGTACAGGGGCCCATGACAGCTTTACGGGCCTGGCAGCAGCATGAGGAGTCGGTACGTGGGGGCCATGGCAGATTACGGGCCTGGCAGCAGCAATGGGAGGCCATACAGCACCCTATGACAAAATGGAACCCACCAGCAGTGTGAGGAGACCTGAAAGTGGCACATGGCAGAGTGTGGCGATGGAGGCAGCAGCAATGGTAGGCCGTACAGGGACCCATGACACACTCTGGACCTGGCAGCAGATGAGGGAGGCGGGATTACAGGGGCCATGACAGATTACAGGCAGCAGCATGAGGAGTCGGTACGGGGGCCCATGGCAGATTACGGGCCTGGCAGCAGCAATGGGAGGCCATACAGCCACCCTATGACAAAATGGAACCCACCAGCAGTGACAGTGAGTGAGGACCTGAAAGTGGAGGCACATGGCAGAGTGTGGCGATGGAGACCGCAGCAATGGGAGGCCGTACAGTGTGGGGACCCATGACACACTCTGGACCTGGGAAGGCAGCAGCATGAGGAGGCGGTACAGGGGCCCATGACAGATTACAGGGCCTGGCAGCAGCATGAGGAGTCGGTACGGGGGGCCCATGGCAGATTACGGGCCTGCAGCAGCAATGGGAGGCCATACAGCACCCTATGACAAAATGGAACCCACCAGCAGTGTGAGGAGACCTGAAAGTGGCACATGGCAGAGTGTGGCGATGGAGGCAGCAGCAATGGGAGGCCGTACAGGGGACCCATGACACACTCTGGACCTGGCAGCAGCATGAGGAGGCGGTACAGGGGCCCATGACAGATTACGGGCCTGGCAGCAGCATGAGGAGTCGGTACGGGGGCCCATGGCAGATTACGGGCCTGGCAGCAGCAATGGGAGGCCCTACAAAAAAAGCACCCTATGACTCAAAATGGAACCCACCAGCAGTGTGAGGAGACCTGAAAGTGGCACATGGCAGAGTGTGGCGATGGAGACAAGCAGCAATGGGAGGCGTACAGGGGACCACATGACACACTCTGGACCTGGCAGCAGCATGAGGAGGCTGGTTACCGGGTACAGGGGCCCATGACAGATTACGGGGGCCTGCAAAGCAGCACCTATGACAAAATGGAGTCGGTGTAATGGGGGGCCCATGGCAGCTTTACGGGGCCTGGCAGCACAATGAGGCCATACAGCACCCTATGACAAAATGGAACCACCAGCAGTGTGAGGAGACCTGAAAGTGGCACATGGCAGAGTGTGGCGATGGAGAAGCAGCAATGGTAGGCCGTACAGGGACCCATGACACACTCTGGACCTGGCAGCAGCATGAGGTGGCGGTACAGGGGCCATGACAGATTACGGGCTGGCAGCAGCATGAGGAGTCGGTACGGGGGGCCCATGGCAGATTACGGGCCGGCAGCCAGCAAATGGGAGGCCATACAGCACCCTATGACAAAATGGAACCCACCAGCAGTGTGAGGAGACTGAAAGTGGCACATGGCAGAGTGTGGCGATGGAGACAGCAGCAATGGGAGGCCGTACAGGGACCTATGACACCACTCTGGACCTGGCAAGCATGAGGAGGCGGTACAGTGGGCCCCCATGGCAGATTACGGCCTGGCAGCAAGCAATGAGGAGACCTATGACAAAAGTGGCAGCAGTGTGGGAGACCTGACTGAAGTGGCACATGGAGTGTGGCGATGGAGGCAGCAGCAATGGGAGGCCGTACGGGACCCATGACACACTCTGGACCTGGCAGCAGCATGAGGAGGCGGTACAGGGGCCCATGACAGATTACGGGCCTGGCGGCAGCAGCATGAGGAGGTCGGTATCAGGGGGCCCATGGCAGATTACGGGCCTGGCAGCAGCAATGGAGGCCATAAGCACCCCTATGACAAAATGGAACCCACCAGCAGTGTGAGGAGACCTGAAAGTGGCACATGGCAGAGTGTGGCGATGGAGGCAGCAGCAATGGGAGGCCGTACAGGGACCCATGACACACTCTGGACCTAGGCAGCAGCATGAGGAGGCGGTACAGGGGCCCATGACAGATTACGGGCCTGGCAGCAGCATGAGGAGTCCGGTACGGGGGCCCATGGCAGATTACGGGCCTGGGCAGCAGCAATGGGAGGCCATACAGCACCCTATGACAAAATGGACCCACCAGCAGTGTGAGGAGACCTGAAAGTGGCACATGGCAGAGTGTGGCGATGGAGACAGCAGCAATGGGAGGCCGTACAGGGACCCATGACACACTCTGGACCTGGCAGCAGCATGAGGAGGCGGTACAGGGGCCCATGACAGATTACGGGCCTGGCAGCAGCATGAGGAGTCGGTACGGGGGCCCATGGCAGATTACGGGCCTGGCAGCAGCAATGGGAGGCCATACAGCACCCTATGACAAAATGGAACCCCCACCAGCAGTGTGAGGAGACCTGAAAGTGGCACATGGCAGAGTGTGGCGATGGAGACAGCAGCAATGGGAGGCCACCCGTACAGGGACCCATGACACACTCTGGACCTGGCAGCGAGCAAGCCAAGGGGCCATGAGGCGGGGCCCATGGCAGATTAGCAAGCAGGCGGTACAGGGGCCCATGACAGATTACGGGCCTGGCAGCAGCAGATTACGGGCCCTGGGAGTCGGTACGGGGGCCATGGCAGATTACGGGCCTGGCAGAAGCATGAGGAGGCGGTACAGGGGCCCATGGCAGAGTGGCGGAGCGTAAGCAGCTAAAATTGAAGGCCATACAGAGGCCTATGTTAAAAAGTCCCCCCAGCAGCAGCGTGGGGAGACGACTAATAGTCGTCTCCCCACGCTGCTGCTGGGGGGACTTTTTAACATAGGCCTCTGTATGGCCTTCAATTTAAGCTGCTTACGCTTCGCCACTCTGCCATGGGCCCCTGTTCCGCCTCCTCTTGCTGCTGCCAGGTCCAGAGTGTGTCATGGGTCCCTGTACGGCCTCCCATTGCTGCTGACTTCATCGCCAGACTCTGCCATGTGCCACTTTCAGGTCTCCTTACACTGTTGGTGGGTTCCATTTTGTGATAGGGTGCTGTATGGCTTCCATTGCTGCTGCCTCCACCGCCACCCTGCGCCATGTGCCTCTGTCGTCTGCTCATGCTGCTGACGGCTTCCGCTTTTTAACCGAGTACTGTGTTTGGCTTCCGAATACTGCTGCATCCACCGCCACCCTGCGCCATGTGTCTCTGTCGTCTGCTCACGCTGCTGACGGCTTCCGCTTTTTAACCTAGGCCTGTGTATGGCTTCAGAATAATGCTGCCTACACCGCCACCCTGCGCCATGTGCCTCTGTCGTCTGCTCACGCTGCTGCCAGGTCCATACTGATTCATGGCCCCCAGTACCGGCTCCTCATGAACGTGGTTCAGCGGGTTTGCATCACTTAACGGCAAATTGTTGACAAACGCTGGGACGTTCAGTGTTGTGCGCATTAAGCCAGACACCAAAGGGCAGCACAGACCTGTTATTACTCGCTCAAGCATGATAGTCGTCGACTATCAAGAGTCCAATGGCAGAGTGGCGGAGCAGAAGCAGCTTCAATTGAAGGCCATACACAGGCCTAGGTTTAAAAGTCCCTCACAGTTAATTCCAATAACGAACTCTACTCCTCCGTGCAATCTACTTACGAGACCCTGGGCAGGTCTGGGTCCAATTTGTGGTAGAGACTGGTTTTGTTCAGCCATGCTTGAGCGAGTCAACGATTTGCCGTTAAGTGATGCAAGTGATGCAAGTGATGATTGGCTAATGCGATCACATGTCATGAATGAATGCATTATGGGTCAGCGCGCCTTGTCTGCGCGCCTTCCCAGAGATCCCCGCTCCGTCGCCACACATGTCGCCGCCATTTTTGGGAAAATTCGATTCGTGCATCCGAAGTTTGCTAATTTTCGGATTCGGCGCGAATCGAATTTTTCCTGATCTTCGAAACGAATTCCACTTCGCCATGTTCGATTCGCTCATCTCTACTGATGACACACAAATCTATCTTTCTACACCTCACCTCATGTGATGCAACATAGTGCCCGACCCCTGCCCTTCTCACCAACTCGTGACAAAGGACCAGCCAATCTCACACCGTGCTGTCACTTGCGTAACAATGCCACTCTCAGGTGCACCCTGCACAAAGATTTTCCAGCTCGTGGGACCACAGTCTAGGTGCCAGCAGCCCGAGAGCGATTTTCACTGGGTTAGGTTAATTATGCAATTAATCCTTCAAACTCCAAACTGACACCAGATAGCTCTGGGCCTATCAACCCTTCACAATGTTAGCAAGAACAAATGTGAACTGTCACCACAGACAAGTATATTCAGAGGATTATTACATACAGTAGCACTCCTCAAGAGACGGATTCTTTAGTTTGCATTAAAAGCTTTAGAGACAGTTTCAATACTTTTCAAAATAGGGTTTATTACTAAAAAGGTCAAAATTATTCAATTTAAATATTTGCAGAAAGGGATGTTACAAAGACACAAAGAGAACAATAAAGCAACAGAGCAATAAAAGAAAGGAGTTAAGAAGGCAGAATACTTGCAAAGTCCTGGTTTTAGCAGAGTCCAATTATCCGAGCAAAAAGTTGCCTTGGCTCTCAAGTGCGTTAAGATGTTCCTTGACTTATGTTAAATGAAAGCTTGCTCTTCACAGGTCCTGGCAGTCCTTTTCTATGATATCAAGGGGGTGTGTGACAGAGACCAACTGACCAATAATCCAGTTTACGGGATGGGTGTTGGGAGGTCACCAAATTTATGACCAAGTCCCAACTATAGTTTTACAGTAATATTAATAACTTCCAATACGTGCAGGTGGTATTTTAGTAACTGGAAGATTAATATTCAGAATTGTATTTTGAACCCAGGAATACCAAACACAGCATACCTTTGTCACCCAGGAGGGAGGAGACTGCTTTCTCCTCATTATTATGTGCTAACATGGTCATGTATGACCTTGATTTGTTCGGGATGATATTCCCTATTCCCTATTCAAATATATACCTAATATTATGTTGAATCTATGAATTGTATGTGGAATTGACTAAGTTATTATTGTTTTACGATATGGCAGAGGAAGGTGTTTTCCATGGTTCATGGAAAAAAGACATCCTGCCAAGACTAATTAGTTATTTGCAGCCCTTGACGCTGGCGTCTATTTGTGGTTTAATTAAGTTAAGAGGCTCTTTTGAAGTTCAATACAAGTTACATTTACAAATTCCAGTTTTCAGGAGGCGGGAGGAGGGGAGGAAGAATATTGCACATGAAAAACAAAAATGGCTGAGACCTTAACAAGATGACCATTGCGTACAACTTCCATGTCTTTATTGCACCCAATTGTTACACCTTACCCCTTCAGTCTCTTCTTGCATCACTAACTTTCTAAGTAACCTATCAGTATGGATGTCATGCCACTTCCTCAAACTCAATCTTTCGAAAACTGAGCTCATAATATTCCCTCCAGCCTATGCCCCCTCCCCTGACTTCTCCATCAAGATCAATAATACAACCATCAGCCCCTCCCCTCCCCTCATGCTAGGGTATTAGGTGTAATCCTGGACTCCCATCTGTCCTTTCAGCCCCAAATCCAATTGCTGTCCAAGTCTTGTAGACTTCACCTCTGTAACATCTCCAAGATGTACTCCTGTTTTTAACCACCGAAACCACTAAGCGACTTATTCACTCCCTTGTTATCACTCGCCTTGACTATTGTAACTTCCTCCTCATTGGCCTACCTAATAGCAGGCTATCCCCTACTACATCACCAATCTTGTCTCCAAATATCACCCAAGCCATCCTCTCTGCTCCTCCCATGACCTCTTTCTCTCTAGCTCCTTTGTCTCCTCCTCCCATGCCCATCTCCAGGACTTCTCCAGATCCTCTCCCATCCTCTGTAACTCTCTACCCCAATCTATCTGACTATTACCTACTCTGAAGAAAAAAGTACCGGACAAGACTTGTACGGACAAACTGGTAGATTTTTTAGCTACAGTGAGAGACCAAACTATCATGTTAAAACGTTACAATTTTATTAAAGATTAAAATCATAACAGACAGAATAAATCCAGGACCCCCTATAAGGGAGGGGAATAGTTTCTGGCATTGCACTTTACATCTTAAGTAGTACATATAACCTTCTAAAAGAATGTATTTCTGCAATGTAGCACCTCCAGGTGCAGGAAGTGGCAATGGGGACTTGTTGTGCCCCTTCATACGCGAACTGATACCCTGGGGGGGTGGGTGCGAATGCTTTTTTGGATGAGAGGTTTAGTAAATTTTGGTCAAACATCCTATTGTGGCTTTACTATATAGATGATGTTATTCTTTTGTGGATAGGATCCACTCAGGAATTTTCTGAGTTTATGTCTACATTAGGTGAAAATTATTTCAATTTAAAATGTATCTTTCATGTTAAAGAAAAATCCATCTCATTTCTGGACACTCAAATAATGATACTTGATGATGGCACAATTGGTATCACCTTGTCTCGTAAATCAACAGCAGGAAATACACGCAGATGGTTTTCATCCAAGGCCATTGATACGGAGCATACCTTACAGTCAATACCTGAGACTTCAACGCATTTGCTCTAATGAACAAGATTTTAAAAAAGAGGTAAATGCATTACGAGATAGGCTTATACAAAGAGGGAACTCACATACTATACTTCGGAGGGCGTACAATAAAGTATGCCAACGCCATAAGGAAGAGATTTTTTTTTTTCATAAAGACACACTCCAATCCAAACACGGTTTCATTAATCACCCCATTTACTAGACAAAATGGGATAATATGCAAGATCCATCAACAACATTGGTACCTTCTAACAAATTACATTATTCTAAGAAAATATATCAAGGACTATCGAGAAATCACTTATAAAAGAGCTCAGTCTGTTAGGGACACAATTACTAGGAGTCACTTTGCACAGGCAGATC